TGGCACATGTCTTTTCTGCTGGATCTCATGGGTAGATGAAACTGGGGAGACTGCCCCATGAATACACTGGTCCCAGGCTATGAATGGCTTTGGATATCACTAGCAGCACTTTAGAATGAGCTCAGAAGTGTACCGGAAGACAACATAGCTTGCAGAACCCAGCCATCATATGTGCCAAGTAAAAGGTGCCCATAATAGCTTGTGCCATGGTATTTTATGCTTCCAGAGGCTATTCAAAGGCAGCCCTATTCTGAGAGTTACGGTATGTGAGATCTTGGGGCAACAGACTGTAAATCCATATATTAAAGTTTTACTTGTACTAATACATGGAATAAGGTACATCGATTTAGGACAGAATGAAAAGGTCTGGTTACATATTTGCTTCTGAAAAATCATCATGACTCGAGTATTCACCATTTCAGTAAATAAAAGAAGTCTAATTACCTTTAGGGAACATGAAGAAAAGAACTAATGTAATGTAATTCACCATTTAACCAGAAAAATACCAATCTTAGAGAAAAGTATTCAAGGCTCCTTGTATATTGTGGAATTTGTAAAGCTGTGATGGTTATAAACTTAAGCCAGTGGTGGGTTGCCCCAGGTTCTATAGAACTGGTAGTAAAACTGGCAGGAGGCTCCGCCCACCGACCCCAACGTCATCAGGAAGCTTCTGCAGCCCCATTGTGAACTGGTAGTAAAGGTAAGTAGAACCCACCCCTGCCTTAAGCATATGCAAAATATTATGGGAAAATATTCCCAGAAATACAGTAAATTGGGGGGGGGGGGAAGTATTAAAAAACACAACTGAACACCTTGAAAAAATGCTTTTAGAACTGCATATATTACATACTAGGATAAATTCTCCCAATATACTTTTTTAAAAACAAAATAATTGGTTATATTTAAATCTTGGTTCATATGAATGACAGCAGTCAAACAATAACTACGCTGCTGCTAAAACAAAAGACCTGGCATTTATTAGAATCATCCTTTGTTCCATATTTCCATCATATAGCAATATTAATAAAGCAATGATTTCAGTCACTATCTAAATCCTTAACCTAAGGACCTTAAGCAAGAGCTCCAAGGATTTTTGTCAGTATTTATTAAACAAACATGCCAATAAACAGTTGTATATTCAGTAATGATAAACACTGTCCTTTTACAAAATGACTACCATATACAGTACTAGTGCATGCAACAGTAGCAAGCTAAGAAGGATTAGCCCTGTCATCTGAAGTACAAAAAAAAAAATCTTAGTATAAAAACCTTTTGTTGAAAATCTGGAAAGTCATAGTGAGTAAAGTGGATGATATCAAATGAAATAAACCAATGATCCGATTTAGGATACAGCGTCAAATGTATTACTGATAGTTATCCTTGTATGCCCCCAGATTTTATTACAAGATAAATGCCACTAAATAAACAAAGTAATCTTTATTCATTCATTCATTCATTCATTCATTCATTCATTCATTCATTCATCTTTTTATCTTTTGTAAAACACACACACACACACACACACACACACACACACACACACACACGGTATTTCTAATCTGATTTTCTTTGTTTGTACTTTATTGGGGCTTAAATACAGAAATCTGAAGTGACAGCATAAAAGGACATTTTAGGAAAAAGATAGGCAGCAATCAGATGGCCAAGCCAGTTTGGCACTGCAACTCATGAGATCAAAGGCTTCTTTAATCTGATTGTTAATTCCTAAACCACCTGTCCCTTAGAATAGTTAATCAATATATGAAGGTTATTGAGACAAAATGGTGCTTTGTTATATAAAATGTACAGCAGCTTCAATGGTGATAAGTGTTAGATACTAACAGTGAGGGCTTCACTCTGGTCCTCTGAAAGAGCGGGAAAAATACTTAAACCTGATTGGTTGAGTTGCTTGGCAGCTCCCTATATAAAGGAATAGCTGTCAGGCAGAGTTTCCTGGATGTTACAAGGCTACAATAAAGAACAGTTGTATGAGCCTTCATTTGCCCAATTTAACAATAAGTGTGATAAATGTTTTGGGTCTTTCTAACTATTCAGTTTCATTGTACTTGGTGACCCACCACACAAATTATCAAGTTCAAATGTGCACCTGAACTTGTGTTGCCAGGACAAGGATGAAAGAGTTTTCTGAAAAATAGTGTGTTTTGACAGCATGCTTTTGTGTTTTTGTTTTTGTTTTGCAAATTTCCTGGAAACACTGTTTTCAGTGATATTTATGTTCTTTTCGTCGACCCTGGTTGCAATAATAATATCTATCCCTCTTGAACTTTATTAATACTTGCAGGAAATGACTTGAATGCTTATTTGTTTTCCCTAAAAAGATACAGGAAGAACTTTGATTACCCAAATAAATGTTTTTCTGAGCTGCTGACATCAGCTTGCCATTTTCCCTACAAGACCGTAATTGTTGTTATTTTCTAGTTTTTGAAAGAAAAACATATTCATTTTCTCTGAATCTTATCTGCAGTATTTGCAGAATGCCATATCCATTTTTCAGAGAATGTTTTTTTTCCAACAAAGGTACACTATTTTGACACAATTTTCTTTTGTCTATTGCCATCAGTAAAAGGATGGGTACTATTCTTGCTTTTTGGCTCACAATTGATGGAATCACATGCCAGACATTTTTAATACTTTGAACATTGCCGGATCCAAAGCATCTTTTTTTTAAGATTCGGGGCATCATTCAACCAATTTGGTACCTTTCAGACATATGGACTTCATTTCCCAGAATTCTCAGCATGCCCATTAAGGCTGAAGAATTCTGCGAATCAAAGTGCATACATTTAGGGGGTGTCTTAGCTAAAATAAATTTCAGAATAACTTTTTTTTTCATCCTCCAATCAGTGGTGAAATCCATTTTTTTTTTTAACTATTGGTTCTGTGGGCATGGCTTGGTGGGCATGTCGTGGCTTGCTGGGCATGGCAGGGGAAGGATACTGCAAAATCTCCATTCCCACCCCATTCCAAGGGAAGGATACTGCAAAATCCCCATTCCCTCCCCATTCCTGGGGGAAAGGATATTGCAAAATCTCTATTCCCACCCACTCTGGGGCCAGCCAGAGGTGGTATTTGGCGGTTCTCCAAACTACTCAAAATTCCTGCTACCAGTTCTCCAAACTACTCAAAATTTCTGTTACCGGTTCTCCAGAACCTGTCAGAACCTGCTGGATTTCACCCCTGCCTCCAATATATTCTTAGTGTGGGCTGTATGAATTTCTTTTTAATAGTTTATCAAGACACTGAGGGAATTTCATTTTGGGAGTGGAAAAAGCAGACTTATGCAGAGGTGATGCTACCAGGAGTCACTATTTGAGAAGAGACATTATAAAACAGAGATAAGTTAATGTGCCTGGAAGAACAGCTTCACCAGACCACAAAACAGGATCCAACTAAGCTAAGCATAGATCAAGAGAAAATATGATCTGGTTCATAGAGTAAATTTGACTAAATTTGGTTATACTTAGCATGCTGCCTGAATGAAGTGACATTGCCCAAATTTCGCTTAGGTAGAAAACTTTAACAAAATATCAACTCTTCTCTTAACTTGGAATAGCTTTCACTTCAGCTACTCTATAGCACTCTCATTTTGGGGGTTATTTTTTAAAAAAAATAATGCTAGCTGCTGACTAATTCATTGATGGCTGGAATCTGGCTAGGGAAAAGAGGGACCAACAAACCACTTCAGGAACAGTTTATATGATAGTCTGTGTTGCAGTTCATGAATAAATACTTAATCCACTGTATTGTTAAGCATATTATTGCTACATGTGAAACATAGCCAATACACAAGTTCCTCTGAATATATAGGCCATCCTTTTTCTTTATCTTCAGACACATGATGTATATGTTTACTACAAACATCCTGACAAAGATTCTGTGCTTTGGTTAACTATGAAGCCAGAGTCATATATCAATTATGGTGGAAAACATTAGATCTATTAGATATTTGAAGTATTGGTTAATCAAAAGTGTAGTGTGGCAAATCTAATGCATGGAAACCGTGGAGAAAAAATACGCTTTTCTTACTTAAGTAATGTTTCTGTATGAAACTAGGAAATATCGCAGTAGTCAACAGAAAACTTCAGCAAATAATCTAATTTACTACATATATCTCTAATGGAGAAAAATGGGATGGCAATGTTGGCTGTAAGGGAGAGACAACAGACTGAAAATAATTTATATTTTTACTTTGTACCACCACTAAAATAAGGAGATGCTAGACTAAACTGAGAAATTCACTCTACTTTTGCATTCTTTTGATGAAATAAGAGGTTCATAAGGTAGACAAAGGAGGACATCTCAACAGTGCAAGTTAAAGTAGGTGCATAAGAAAAAGATGAAACATCAGGGTTGTTTTAGACTGGATGCTGAATTGAACAGCAAGAAAGAATAGGACTCGTTTAATCCAAATTCATAATTTGGAAATCATTATGGATATAAATTATTTTAACGTGTAACTAAAATGTTGAATAAGGTCTGCAATAAGCTTGGCTCAAAACAGTTCAGTTTAAAAAAAGTATTAGACTAGAAGGGGATACTTATCTTCAATTCTTTTTCTGGTGCTTGTTTCATAATGGTATCTAGCTGTGGCAAACTAACAGGATTATGTAAAAGGAAACATTTTAACACTGATGCATATTTCGTGCAGGGAACAACAAACAAAATCTTTTTCTTAATGGGAGTTCTGATTAAAATTCTAACTTTTAAAGTTAGAATACATGACATCTCTTAATTTTAACAAATAGCACACATCTTTCTGCAAGCACAAAATCAATCCTCCCATCTCTTTTTCACAAAACATTCATACTCCCACACATTTTGATATGTGTTTGTAAGTGACTACAATTATGCCAACTGTATTTTAAATTCATGGCATCAAAAAAAAAAAACTATAAATGAGTTAATTATCTCTTACAATCAGATGCCAAATCTATTCTGTCTATAAAAGTTAATTAAAATTTAGAAAATGGAATCACTTATACCTTTTACAGTTAAGTACACCTGCATGGTTCTGGGCGTGTGCTGGGTCTGCACTGAACAAGTATATAGACCATCATCTGACACATCCACATTCTGTATCTGGAGACTGTATTCCCTTTTATTTGCTGTTGCAATTGAAACTCGAGGATCTACTGACCACTTGTCTCCTCCTGCAAAAATAATACTTGATCGATTCAGCCAGGCACCTTTTGAAGCTCCATCTTCCAAGTAACATCTGTATATTTAAAAAAAAAAGGATGCAATTAATAGAATGATCTTAATTTCCTAGAAAAGAAGTTTTTTTAATGTTACCCATGACTTACATAGTTATGAAATGATATGTTTCTAGTATAAAGAATGGTTACATTAAGATTTGCTACTAATATCTGATTTATGAACATTTTTGAGAATTTTGTGAGTTCCTTCTTAGAATAAATATCCCAAGGATTTTGAAATAAATTAAAAAAAAATCTACATTTCATAGTGCATCCTTGTTTTTTAGTGACAGAGGAATGCAGTTATTTGAAATTTTGACCATAAATTAGAGTGATTTTATGTATTAGGCTTGTACAAGTCATTTGATGAATATTAAGATCTGAATTGACTATTATTTTGTTCTTCTGAAAAGGACCCCAAAGAAATACAAGCAACTAATCAGCCATGAACAAAGACTTCAAAAGAACTTGTCACATTTTCCAAATATATTTTCTTATATTTGATTCCTATTCTCAGAACCAAAATATTATAATAAGCAGTTTTCTGCTTATCTGATCCACTATTTATTACTCACATTTGTTATATTAATATGTGCTAAGAGCATATTCTTAAAAAAAAAAAAACACTTTAAAATTGGCAAGATAGATTTACCAGTACTTCAATGGTAGTGATTTTAGTAATTTCTATAGCAAATGATAACATTTTTGTATATTACTTATTTCATCTAAAATACCATTTGAATAATTAGAATACTGCAATACAAAATTCAATAAAATACAGACATTCTATTCATAGTAATGGAGTCAATACATTGTAGGAAGGAAAAATACTTCAGTCAGTATGTCAGACTTCTGCCTCTCTAAGCTTTTGAAAATGTTCCATCACAGATTGAAGAGTGGTTCTTTTAAATGAGCACAGTACATCTCACAAATGAAATACACATCCATTGGAAAAGGTTTGACAGAATATCTACAGTCCCTCAGGGGTTGAAACACCATGCTGAAAATTGCTACAAAATCCCAAGCTGATTTCAACAGGGTAAGTCACTGCCAACAGTACGAAACTAATCAGTTCAAAAATAAGGAACAAGATATCTCACAGAATCTAATTTACAGCCACTTTCATTCTCATGCTGAAACAAAAGCACAAGGAGTTCTCATAGATTTGTATTAAGAATGACCGGATCTTCATATTTATTTAAAAATATACAGCCAGATTTCTAAAATTTTAAAGTAACTGCATAGTATTATGCATATATGATTAAAGCATGACTGTTATTCAAAAGTTATGAGGCACTTCGTTGTCTTTTGAGAAACCTATTCATATATTTAAAATTAAGGAGGTTTCTCACAGCAAATTAAAAATAATTTCTTGTTGGGAAACACCCAGCCAGACAGGGAAGAGAACTCAAACAAAGGATTAGCCTGGAATCATTATTCAGCCACAGGAGATTTTGGACTAACCCTCCCTAAACTCCACAAAACATTATCTATCTGTACTCAAGAGAAACCAAGCAGTCTGCGGATATTCCTGTATTACTGGCAGAATACAATAAATAGGTAGCTTCGACCCTACATACATGGATCTGGTTATTTGCACCTGACATTTCTAGCATGTTGTAGAAATATATAAAATGGCTTAATGTAAAATACCTATTCTGGATCTACTCAGAAGGAAGACCCTTATGTTTAATTCCCAATAAATTGAATTACCTGCTTCTATCTTGAAAGGCTCTCTCTAGTACCAGCCATTCTGGCTTCAGCAAATATTACAAAGGAGTGTGTCATTAGTGTCCCTGCTTAAGTCCTGCTATGGTGTCTCATGAAAGGGGGTTCCTGGGAGGGACAGGTAAAGTACCCTGGGATTCTATGCCAAGAGGATATATTCCTTGCAGAACATGAAACTGTCCAGCAGTGACTATATTGAGCAGCAGCAATAAGGGAGGATTGTGAACAATCATCTCAGTGTCAATGGCAAAGGCATCATTTGATACTTTGAGGGAGATGGCAATGGTAAACTACTCCTGTATTGTACCAAATTAATTAGATGAGCAGATAAGATAAAATGAGTGATGATATAGCTCTGAGTGATAGAATCTGCAGGCTAAATAGTCCACAACATACTTCTGAGGAACAGCTGACAATCTTTCAGAGTATTAATGGTGTGTATCAGGGGTATCAAACTCATGGCATCATGTTGTCGTCATGTGACATATCAGAACTTTCCCCCCCTTTGCTAAACTGGAGGTGGGCGTGGTCAGCATATGACGCATCCGGCCTGCGGGCTGCAAATTTGACACCCCAGGTGTATATGATATGACTAGATTAAAACCCTTTGAGATGTATAGATCCCAATGTTGCCATGCAGGAAAAGGAAATTCAAAGCTGTAGAGAAAGAACTACAGCGGGAACATGGGAAATAGGGAGCAGTAGTATGGAAAAAGCTCAACATAGACAGAAGATCATATGGTTTACTATTAAGGACACCAAAACCAAAGAAGAAATAGCATTGCTTTCAAAATTGTGAAGGATATAACGAAGACATTATTTAGGTACAGTGCAGTTAATGACCAAATAATATCCATTAGATTTCACAGACTACCCTAATTATTATTATATTAGCCAAGCTCATGCTCCAACCACTGATGCAGAAAAAGAAGAGTTTGACAAGTTAATAGTCAAATTCAATCTAAAATCAGCAGAACATGCACACAAGATGTGTTGTTGGTGATTAGAGACAGGAACGCCAAAGTTGGAAACACTAAGGAAGAAAATGTATTTGGACTGTATGGTCTAGGAAACAGAAATGACATAGGGAAAGGGTGTATACATTTCTGCCAGATTACTTATTGCTTTTATAGATCCTCACTTAATGATCCTAATTGGGGCTGGCAACTCTATTCCGAAGTGAAGTGGTCACTAAGTGAGAAATCATATGACTATGATTGTACTTTTTAGCTGGAAAGATATAATACTACTCAGTTTCACACTTTTGGCTTTTGTTTGCCTTTTCTCATCCTTTGGAATGTCTGAGTGCCTGTTTATTGTCTTGTACACATCAAAAGAAATGCAACTGTGCTGGCAGCTCTGGAACATGGGCACACTATGCAAACAGCTTATTCCCCTGAAAATCTTTCTTCTCCAATCTCTTTGATCTGTGGGAGAAGTGTGAGAGAAAAAAAAAGCAAGCAGGCAACAGGAAATTGTAGGCAATTTCTTGTTTCTTGACTCTTTTCAACTGCCTGTGCAATTACATTGTTTTTGATATGTGGAAGAGCAAACATCTTACTCTTTTGCAATCCCTTACTCTGCAATCTCTCTGCTCTGCAAGAGAGGAGAGAAAAACATAGGTCAGGCATAGAACAATGCGTGCCAACAGTAATAGCAACCATGTTCCTGAAGGATGGTGTGAAGATCCTAAATAGGCCAGTTTTCTTTTCAACACTGTCATAATTATCATACTATCTGTAGCATTTTCTAAATCAAAGCAACTCCTATATACATGAAGAACACCAGGCAGAAACTAAAATCAAGCTGCTATATCATTGGTAACAGGATGTGGAAGTGCTCTGTTACAACAATAAAGATGTTGCCAAGGAATAACTGTGGAACAGACCACAAACTGTTCATGTGTAAGAGTTTCCACAATATGGTTTTGACCACATTCCCACCATTTTCAAGGGGAACACAGGAAATGACTTTGGACTCTTAAACTTAAGTGATAGGAAGCCAGAAAAGTTCTAGAATGAAATCAAAGAAATTGTTACAGTAAGTGTAAAAAGAGACTGCCAAACACCAGTAAAAAGAAAAAAGCCAACTGGATAGCAAAAACATAATAAAAATCTGAAGACAAGAACAAAAGCCAAGGGCAAGAAAGACAAGAATATCACAAAGGAACTTAATAAAGATTTTCAGAGGGCAGTTGGCAGAGACAAGAAGTATTATTACAATGGAATCTGTAAAACATCAAACATGGAAAGAGACATAGAAAAACAAGGAAAATATTCCAAAATTTCTCTGAACTCAGAAAGAGGTCCTAACTTTGAATTAGCATGCCAAAGGACACAATGAATAGAGACTAACTGGTTCAAAGATCGAACAAAGATGGAACAAAATGGAAAGAGACTCCTGAACAAAGATGAAAAAAGAGCACTGAAATTCTACACAGTAAACAGTGAACACCCAAGATACCTTAGAATGTATTCCCTCATTAAAAGGACCTCTAGCATCAAAAGAGAAAGCTAGATAACCACCCTAGTCATTACTAAGCCAGATGGTTATAGGAATTGATGAAGTATATATCTACAGTAATATTGCTAGCAAAGTAGGGAGAATTTAAGTTTGCCAGCAAAATTGAGAAATTATGCCAGCAAAACTGGGAAAGGTAGTAGCTAACAGACTGGAAGAGTTTGTTACATATCAAAATCAAAGAAATGATATTTAACAGAGTACATAATAGTTTTAATTTCACATGATAACAAAATAATGTAAAAGTAGTATATAGCAAAATATACAAAATCATATAGAGCAACATATGTGCACAAACACACATGTACATCAATACTGATGAGCGATGAAGAAATGTTAAGAAAACTGTGAGGAGACATCAAAGGAAAGGGGTAAACAATTATTTACTAAATTCCTTTTTAGGTTGGAGCATTTTTTCTTAAAAGTCTAAGCATATCTGGAGGGGGGGAGGCAAAACCCTGATAATGATTTGTCAGACGTTGCAAATATTTGCAAACATTTAAAACAATGTCATTCTTCTCACTACTATTCTTTACTTTTTAAAAATCTATAGTTTTCTTGAAAAATATTCTATGATAATATTGTTATAAAACATTTTTATTTATGTTAATGATGTTATTCTGATGTGATTCAATAAATAAATATTCTATGAACAAATCAATTTAAATGTTTAATATGGTAAATATCAATAAAAGTAACCCATACAAACAAAAGCTCTTTTGGAGTCTTCCATTATTTTTAATGAGAAGCAAAATATTCAAGAAACAGAAGA